CCGGCGGACCGTCACCATGGACCTCTGCAGAACCATCCACAGCTGCTTGGCCAGCTCATCGGACAGACCCTGAACCTGGAGATCCACAAACACACTAACTGAGTTCTGGTTCGCTAGGTAACATGTAGGAAGACAACTGTGTCCACCAGAAAGGTGAACTATGTTGAGCTTAAGACTTAATCAGCTCGTAAACATATAACTTATATTTGTACAACTATACAATATAAGGTTCTTTTTGCAAATAGATTAATATTATCAATTGAGCAGGGTTCATTTGACTTATCTATATGTTTTCATTACGGCAGCAAGAAGACACTGTTCACTGCAGCAATACAAGGCCCTCCTTCCAAACTTGACAGATTCTTTACAGTTTTAAGTCAAAAGGAGAAGTTGTGAAAAGAAAAACAAATGAGCTGCTTTAAAGGTAGGGTAGGTAAGTTTGAGAAACCGGCTCGAGATCGCTAGAATTTGAAAATACACAGCCGGAGAAAATCTGCCACTTCCTTATAGAGCCCCTCCTCCAACACACATGAACGCGCACATGACCAATGAGGGCACGAGATAAGTTTGTGCACAGATGGAAGGCTGACAGGCAGGTAGGCCATCCAGTTATTTTAGCCGGGCCGGCTAAAATGATTGGTCATGCTTTTTCCAGTATTAAGGCTTCCACAGATTACATTTTTTTTATGGATTTTTTGTCAAAGCACTTAAGATATTCATTGCTATCGGGATGTTAAGAGCATTCCATGGAATATAACAAAAAGTGTATCTCGAGCCGGTTTCTCAAACGTACATACCCCACCTTTAATGTTATTGTCTAAATATTCTGCAATTACACAACACATTATGAAATATTAAAAAAAAGCATTTAATGCCAGCCAGTATCCAGGTCCAATAAATAAAGTGTTGACATTTGTTGGCATTGTGAAGTGGCATGGAATTATGGCAGTTGTTGCCTTCACAACCATACTTTAAGATCCAGACGTCCAATGACTAAAATCCCTTATAACGTTACAAGTATAGTGAAATCACCAAATCACAATCACCAAAATCAAAATGTGTAATGCAAAAATGTGGTTTAAAACAGGATGAAAAGTATGCTGAAACTTGCACAAAGGATATCTGATGCCATTAGAGGAGACTAAATGAAAGCGAACATTTCCGTCATTAAAATGTCTCTGGGTTTGTAAATGGTTGGAAGCATTTAAGAAAATATAAGTACAAAACTTTACAAAAAAGAATGCAAAGGTCAAGAGGTTTTTAGAGATTTAAATGCTGACATATACCATATTATACCTTCAAGTTACTGTCAATGAAAGTCAAACATTTATAACTGAGATGTACGATGTTCAGACATTTCACAGTAAGTATACAACAGTCAAAAATGCTATCACATAAACTTACATCTTCAAAGTAGATGGAGATGAGGTTCATGTCACTGGTGTTCTTGCTGTCCATGCGGTACTGCTCGTACATGAGGTCGTCCCGGGAGCACTCCAGCTCCATCAGCTTCCTGTGTGCCTGCAGCAGCTCGCCCTGCTCGATCAGCTGCTGCGTGTCCGCCACGATCTCTGGGACTGCACACAGCAACATGACACACACAGAGGGCAGTGCATGAGGAACCAGGAGAGAAGTCAAAGATAGCTTGTAAGGCCTGGGATGTGTCTTTAGTGGCAGTGTGTGGGCCTGTGTCCACAGAGAGTTTTTCTGTCAAAAAGGGGCAGGAAGGAAAAAGCCTCCTTCCAGTGTTTCATAAAAAAATATATATTTTTGTATTGTTTCCTTGACCATGATATCTGGATAATATACATTGTTCAATTCACTCTGCTCCAACAAGCTTTTTAATCTTTCTAATGACAGTTTCTGTCTAAATTACATGGCTGAAACAGGCTTCCCCTCCAATTTCTACAGTAATGTCAATGGTGCTTTTCTGAAAAAGTTGCAAAATGTTCAACTAGAAAAAGTTGCAAAATGTTCAACTAGATGTGCACAAGAACAGTACTCAGAGTGCTCAGAAATAGGTGTCTGCATTGAGCGATCAGAAATATGCGGACACAGGCCCTTAGTCTGTGATGGGACTTCTTCAAGGTGGAGGCGGACCTAGCTTACCAGAGAAAATGTTTTTGAGGTTTTCCACAGCCGAGGCCAGCTGACTGTGTTGAACTACGGCATCCTTGACGTCCTTCAGGTTCTCGATGGTGTTGATGCTCTGCCTCCAGTCTTTGCTCACGTCAGCCAGGGAGCCCTGGATGTCTTTGACGTCCAGCAGAGCGCTGTGCAGCTGGGTCAGTCCGGTGCGAACCCCGTCCAGCTGCGACTGGATGGCTGCCTGCAGGACGTCCAGAGACAGATACTATTGTTAATAACACCATTCTTTGTGCTTCCTGTCATTAATTAAAGGGTGGTATATATTGAATGCTTGCTTTTGTCTGACTGATTGCTAACTGTTATCAGAGTTGGGGTGTAACACGTTACAAAGTAACGCGCTACACGTACGTATGTACGTAATCTGCGCGACTTGCGCGTCCACATCTCCACGTGCAGTGCTGCATAAACATGGCTGAGTCAGCGATAACTTTCGAGGGGTGGAGGTATGCCCATTATTTTGAGTTTGTCCGAAGAATAGACAGGAATGTGACGGTGAGGTGCAAACTGTGTCCAGGCCAGAAGCTGTTATCCACTGCTGCAAACACCACGTCAAACCTCAACAAACACCTGCAAAGAACACATGCTAAGGTGAAGCTAATAGCTAAGGACCCCCGAACCCAGAGTGAGGATGTTGTGAGTGCGCCGCCGCCGACTCCGAAGCAGCAGCACAAATTAGAATTTGGAGGACCGGTAACCAAAGCAGAGATGGACAGGCTTGTAGCATCCTTCATAGTAGAGGTAATGTTGCCCATTTGCACAGTGGAATCACCATCGCATCGTTCAGAGATATACTGCGCAAAATACAGATAGCAGGAGACAGAGGACAGCCATGGTCAGAGCTATCTGAATCAGTCTTATGCGACAATGGAAACTGAACTAAAGAGAACATTTGAAACTTTAGCAGTCTGCGTGATCTGCCTGTAGGGAGGGGCGGGCCGGCCCTGCGAGTAAAGTAACGAGTAAAGTAACGAGTAAAGTAACAAGTTACTTTATTATGTAGAGAGCAACGAAGTAGTGTAATATATTACTTTTTTTTAAAGTAATATGTAATATGTAATAACGACCCCATCTCTGCCTGTTATACACAATCAAGTCACCAAATAATAGCGATCTCCACCAAACAATAACAGACCGATTAGTAGGGTTGGGAACCGAAACTCGGTTCGAGATGAGAACCGATAAGAAAATACTGGGTACCGGGTACCCATACAAAATACACAATTTCGGTTCTGCTTAACGGTTCCTAAACGCGGTAGACCCTGTATTCCACCGGGTCCGTCTGCGCCGCGGCGACCCGGTGGAATACAGAGGCGGACTGGCCATCTGTGTGTTCTGGAGAATCACAGAACGGCCGGTCGTCAGCGGGACGTTGGCGGCCGGCTCGGTTGGCTGACGGCCGGCATCATGTAAGTTGCGCTGACAGGCGACAGAGGTCCACAGTTGCCCCGCAGTGAGGCTCCCCCCGCCCTCCCGTAGACAGTTCACGAGCTCAGTCATTTCATAACACCAAAGATGGATCGCGGTAAACGCTCTAAAGTGAGGCTCCACTACACTAGAAAAGAAAAAGACAAGGCACAGTGTAATGCCTGTTAATAGCTTGCCACAGGCATAGCTCAGTTAAAATAAAGCACGGCTATTGTGCAATACATTTGTATTGCATGTATTTTTTTATTTGTAAAAATGTCTGTTAAAGCTTAAAAGAATAAAGATATTTTTGTTATCTAAACGTTTGACCTCTTTCTTTTACAATTTTGGAATCGAAACAGGGAATTGATAAGATCCGGAATCGATAAGCAGAATCGGAATCGATACATTTCAGACGATACCCATCCCTACCGATTAGAGATGCACTTCACTGACACCGAAGATGAATGGTTTAAAGTTTACCTTTAAGACCAATTGTATTTTAAAAGCAAATATCAAAAATGTTGTGATTTTTGTGTTTAATAAATAGTGTTAGTGCTGCAGCATTCAGTCTATTATTGTTTTTAAGATTATAAAAAGAACAAATTCTACAACTGTTTTGGATTTTTTTTTATTAGGGATCATTTAGCTTGAAAATAGCACCATTGATTTCCTGGTTTTAGCATTTGAGGAACTTTGATGAATTGCAGCAGTTATTGAAAATCCTTATTTTAATGATGATCTTTGCATTTTGGGTTGTTGACCGGTTTTCATTTTGACTGAAACAGTTGTTGCTGAACATTAGGTGAACAGATGTGTAGGATGAAACAGTGTATGCGAGCTACACTTCACATCACCTTCAGCCTAGCTTCCACGGAGGCCTTCTTGCGAGCCTCTCTCCTCCTGTACTGCTCCACTTTGTCCAGCTGGTCCGAGCGCTGCAGCATCCCAGCCACGCGCTGCACCGCCGTGGCAACCGCCTCCCGACTCGTCTCCTCCATGGTGGTCCTCAGTCTTAGAAAGTACCAGTCGTACCCAAAGGCTTCATGCAAACACTCTTGAGCTGAAGAGAGAAAAATACACAAAACACAACATCACTTATCATTTTCTGTCAGTAACAGATCGTTACTCTTTATTTAAATCAAGATTTTGTATTTTCTGGAATTGTGATTGTTAAACCAAACAGGATTCAACTAATTGTTGAAGATATATTACATTTCTGTAATAATGCCAGTGTTTCCCTATCACACTTTAAAAAAGTAAGTAAGTAAGTATGGTGATTTTTTAAGAGAACTGAGGCACAGCAACCCATATTGTTTGGCCATTCTCTCCACAAACTAAAAAACAACTAAAGGGTAAATTCCCATCAACAGATAATAATTAAATAGAGCTTTTCTGCAGTTTCTAACAGTGTTGTAAGCAAATGAACAGAGAGTTGCATCACAAAATCCAAAGCCAACAGCAGTTTTACTGATTAGCAGTGGAGGAACGTAATTAGGTACATCTACTCAGGTACTGTACTGAAGAATAAAATGTAGCTATTTGTATTTGAATTAAGTATTTTCTAAATTTTGCTACTTTATACTTTTACTCCACTCCATTTTGTAGGCAAATGTTGTACTTACTCCACTACATTTATTGTATGTGTTTAGTTACTAGTTACTTGGCAGATTTGGATTATTAACACAAAATATAAATCAACTACTACATTATATATTATTATAGGTTAAGCTACCCAGTAGTTTATAAAATAATTCAAATAAACCCCACCTTTACCATGTGCAACATTAAAGTGATGAACACATTAATGCATCAATAACTATAATACAATAATTCAAATATATCGTGCTCAAATGGGCCAATCTGCATAATGAGTACTTTTTTACCGTATTTCTTTTAATGCTAATACTTTTGTACTTTTATGAAAGTATACTTTTGCTTGCAGAACTTTTACTTGTAACTGAGTATTTTTACACTTCAGTATTGCTACTTTTACTGTGTACGAAAATATAGGCCTACATAGGGTTAAACAATGAATAAATAAATAAATAAACAGCAATATTTCTCTGGTGAAACACGCTTGTAATGATTAATCTGTGGCTGACTTCATGCTGAAGGTGAACAGGATGTCCTGTCATAATAGAGCCACATGACTCTTATTTCCACAGTTTAAATGGGACACTATCCAAAAGTGACACTGGAGCAGAGAGAGACAGCTGTGGCACAGGCTTTTTTATAATGACATTTAGCTTTTCAGATGTTGGTCGATGGTTCGACTAGTTTTAATGAAGGGTGGTAACGTTAATGTAATGCCAGACGGCTAGTGAGCTTTCGGAGAGCATGCTAGCGCCGACAGCTGGTACACAGCAGCCGGACAAACTATTCCCTCGGACACACGTCAAATACAACATAAGCCTTATGACGATATCGAGCTTTAGTTTCACATCTCAATAAATGTAGTTCGCATAAGCTAAGCTAACAACGGCTAACATTAGCTCGCCTGTGAAACAAGCTCGAGGTAAACATTCAAAAAGAGTATTACCTCAGGCACTTAGGGACTCAAAGTGAGGAAGATAAAACCAATTTCTACAAATATAACATTGTTATTCTGGTTATCTTGTTTCGGTTCCTCTTCCTCATCAGTGCTCCGCCCGCACCAGCACCAGCTGCTTCACTACTTCTTCTTCTTCTTCTTCTTCGGCCCAATTCCAAACCACGCCCTACACCCTACCCCTCCGTGACGGAGTGAACTCCGTCTGTAGCGACACTCGCAGCTCAACGAGGCTCCTCCTGTCAGATAGAGGGAGTAAACACAGCGGCAAGCTTTGGGACAAACTCCCCTCTCTCCGGCAGAAACAGGAAATGCCGTAACTGTATGTAACAACGGTTTCAAATCTCTTTGACAAAACATTTAAATTAATAACTAAAATAAAACTCCAAACATCTTTAATTGTGTTAATTTTTTAAACCTGATGTTTATAACCTTCTTAGTTTTTACAACAGTCTGTACATATACACAACTTTATAATAACATGCACACATTTACCTTTTTCTTGACTAAACACAGGTAAAAAAAATGAGGTTATCATGAGGTTGTTAACATCGCAATTTATCAGTGGATGTTTGCAAGAACTGTTTGTAAACAGCTTGTTTCCTGACGGACACACACAGCGTTGAGTCCATGGATGGGGCGGTTTGGAATTAGGCCTTCTTCTTTTCTTTCTTCTTCTTCTTTTCTTCTTCTTCTCTTCTTCTTCTTTCTTCTTCTTTTCTCTTCTTCTTCTTCTTCTCTTCTTCTTCTTCTGTTGAAGCGTGCGGCAGACTAACACAGCAGGGCGTGTTGAACCCCCTACAGGTCAGTTGAAGAGCTGCATCGATTCGCTACACATCGTTGCGCCGTGTCCATTGCGATGAAGAAAGGTAAGGACAGTTTTGGCTTATTCACAATCTCCCGCAGCGAGTATTGATTTCAATGGTCTCTAACTTATATTTCTGAGAGTTCAAGAGGTGTATTCCTGTTTTATTGTTGGTGCATTCCATTCAAGCGCAATTCCTAGTGTCTGCCTGTCCACAGCTGCATCTCTGATCCAGATGCTACCGACCGTAGCCAGCCATGATCAGTCCGCAGGGAGCCAGTCTCAGCCTGGTTAACACCCCACTGCCTGGTCCTGAATCTGACACGTGTTTCAGTGTTGTCAATAAAACCTTGGTTTACCTCCTCTCATGCCCTATGCCATACAATTGCATGAATTAGATGTGCTATCAAGCTCCTAAATTAAACTCTTCCATACCGTACTTCCTGTTTTTGCTATTTTATAAGCTTATTTATTCACCGTTACTCAGGAACCCAATAGTATTCACCAATTTACAAATTCAATGTAAATATTATTTTTTGTACTATATTAGATATGTTCTTGCCTTTTTTTTTGATAGCAGTAGTATAATCTAAAAATAGGATTATTTTCCTTGTCTAACCTTATGCCCACAATACTGCAAAAACTCTACAGTGAAGACTGACAAATGATGTGATTTCTGCTTTCCAAGCTGATCTGCAATCTTCAATTTTTCATGATCTGTGAAAATCTGTATGATATCACACATATTCCTTTAGGATGCTGTTTCTCACTCCCAAATGACAGAATAAGACACGTTCTTTCTACAATGGAGTAGTATATGTTGAACTGTTTCTGGTTTATAACAGTGTGTGCATTCACCAGTTGGGTGGGTTAGCAGATGGTCATCTTTGGTAGACGCTCTCCTTTCTTATTCATTTTGGATTTTAACAGTAATTGGTAATAAGTTCAGGCCCAATTCCCCCAATTTCTGTTTCAAAGTCATATTTTAAAAAAAAACGGTTGCAACAGATCACTGTATAGTATGCAAGGTGTTTGCAACATCTATTCAGTTGTACTATTTCCTTAACATGTGCATTTTCAATGAAACAATCCAAACTTGCTTAACACATAGTTTGCACATGCTAGTGTGTCTGTGAAATTGTGGAACTGTTGACAACCAGCAGATGGTCTCAAAGTCTCTGTTAGCAGTAATATTAGATGCAGTTCATATTGTGAACGCCAGGGGTCATTATCACTATGTGAGTGGATTATTTTTGATATGGAAGAAGCTTCACCAGTCAGAGCAGTTTCCTGTGAAAGAAGTTGCTGTTTGGCAGACCTCAACTCTAAAGTTCAGTTTGATGGCCTATATATAGTGATTTATTCCACTCATGGCAATGATTATAAAAGTAAATATGTTCACTTTAGGAACTTTTCTCTTTTTGTGTAGCCGATGATGGAAAGGAGCAGGGAGAAGCATGCATCAATGGTTGAGCTTCAACTCCCTGGGCCCCTGGGCACTGAGAGCTCAGGGCCCCTCAACCCACCTACCCAATGTGTGTGTGTGTGTGCGTGTGTGTGTGTGTGTGTGTGTGTGTGTGTGTGGTGTGTGTGTGTGGTGTTGGTGTGTGTGTGTGTGTGTGTGTGTGTGTGTGTGTGTGTGTGTGTGTGTGCAATAGAGAGAGCATGTGTGTTTGTAAGACAATCCCTCAAATCAGTGGATCTTACCATTTAGAATTGTTTCTTCCTTGCCCTTTTCTTTGCAAAGTCTGTGATAAGTTCATCAAAATCCTAACATTACTCGCTAGCTCAACAACATCCTCAGGCTCCGTGACCGTCACTGTTCCTTGCGGTTGCTGGCCTAATTCGTCACTTTTAGCTTTTTTGAAAAAGCTATTTATTGTTGGGAAATGTTTGAATGCAGCCACCACTCTCTCTTCCTTTTCTTTATTTGTCTTTCTTTTCGCTGCCCGCTGGGCGTTCAGCTGCTACCTGCACCATCCATTTTTTTAGCTCACGTGACACAATGTCAATGTGACATGAGTGAAGGTGGGGTTGTGATTCGGCTATAGACCGCCGCCGCGTAGTAATAAAGTTGAGCGCATACATAGTGAGACCTACAGTACAGAGACGGTTTAGAAAATATATGAATTTGACCCTATAGAAAAGCCGAGCTATTTATTGCGGCGGAGAGTGAGTTTAATTTAAAACAATGTATGATGAGTGAGGTTGTGCCAAAAAAAAAAAAAAAAGTCTTCTTACTGAGGGCCCTCTCTTGCTCAAGGGCCCCTGGGCACGTGCCCAGTGTGCCCTGTGGTTAATCCGGCCTTGGTTGGACATGTTGAAATGTCATGGGTGGAAAGTGGAACTTTTCAAAGTCTCCACCGCTGCTCCCGCTCACAGAGTTCTACAGGGGTTTGGATGAATAAAGAGAACTGGATACAGAGTTGGAGGCAGGACCCACAAGGCCTGACTCTCTGAGCAGAGCTATCATTAAACAATAGTATGTGCGCACTTTAGTTTTCCCTTAAGCCCCGTCTTCGATCTCCCGCTCTCCGCTTAGCCAGATTTGTGGTTTGTTTTTTCCACTCATGGCAATTATTGTAAGACCAAACATGAAAAAATAAGCAGTTTTTTAGCACATGATGGAAAGGAGCAGGGAGAATAAAGTCTTATTTTACCCCTTACTCAAAAATCAATGGTCTGTCAATCACTGCTGCTTACAACCAATACTAACAACATGAAACCAAAAACACAATCAACCATCAGAGAAACAGGTTACCTGACAGCTTCATACTGTCTAGTTATTCTTTCTTTATACATTTTCTTAAACCCAAATATGTTCATACAGGCCTTTACATCTTTTGGTAAAGACGAATGGAGAGGGAGAATAACTCTGGATGCGGCTTTTAGGGCATTTAACATCTTTAAACCCCTCATGATTCAAATAAGGGCTATAAAAGTGTTATTACTGGGTAGTGTATTTAGCTGAAAAAAAAAATCCACCCGGATTTACAGACATCTCTTTCCCAATGTAAGTCGATGGGAAACTTTTTGTGCCCAATGACGTCACAGACTGACACGGAAGTTGTAGTACCCAGGTTTGGCTACTACCAAACATGTGAAACAACTAGTAATATTTCTAAATTGACAGAAAATGTTTTGCCAAATAATAAGATTATCAACATATTGTCTTGAAATGTAAAACATTTGCTTATTCTGGCTCCTCTGATAAAGGCTTTATGTGAGGGGCTCAGCTGACATGATGAAATCTGACATGGAGGAAATGAATGTGTAATTTAAAGTTCAACATTTCTAAATTATGACAAATGGATGCCTATTTTAACTTCAACATGTATATGACACAACTAAATTAAGTTCTATTTCACATTGATAGAAAATGCATTACCAATCATTTGTCTATTGATTCAATTTGTCTGAAAATATCCTAAATGTGCTTATTATAGCTCCTCTAATGAGTTCAGATTCTCAGTTTGATGTCATTGTATTCTCTATATATATGTAGGTGTCAGACTGTTGACCAAACACAACAGACAGTTGAAAACGTCCCCTAAGACTCCTCAAAACATTATTAAAGATCAAGGATGTAGTACAATATTTCAGAAAATAATAGCAGTTTAATCAATAATAAAACATTGTTGCTGGTAGCAGGCTGAATTGCAGGGTAATGGAAAGGTACTGCATTTATGAATCAGAGAAACACAGTTTGGTAATATGCAAAACTTTAACAACTCATTGGTTCATCTTTGAAATGAAAATGATCATCACTCAGGGCTCTACTTTGTTTTTTCCTTGTGGAAACTTGCTTGACAAGTATGAACACTCTTGCCTAATGTATTTGGCTAATGAGGATTATGCTGCAGAACAAAAATAATTGTTCTAAACCATGGTTGTCAAACATACGGCCCGGGCGCCAAAACTATCCTGCCGTGCGATGCCTTTGCAAAATAAAATAAATGACAGAGAAGACATTAACTGCAATTTCCACAACTTTATGTATTTTGTATGTATACATTATATACATTTAAAACGCAGGGGGCTAACTCAACGTTCTTCCTAAATAGTTCCCTCTTTAGTTTGTATGACGTGTGTCAGGATTACTACACAGATGTGGAAATTCATGTAAAATATTTTTTTGATCATTAAGTGAAACTCTATATTATTCAGTTCCAAATACCGGGACTACATGTTTTGTGCCTTTATAGATACACTGTGGTCTGTAAGTTGTAATGCACAAGTGTAAATCAGTAATCAAACTAAGGCAATAAATTGTTGACATTTTAATAAATGTCAGGTT